GTCCCTTGATGGGCACTTAGGTTGGAAAGCCCTGTCTTGACATGAGTCTCCCAGCAGAGGCGCCCACCTGCTCCAGTTTCTAGTGCAAGTCCTTTGTGCTGTGGACCAATCAGGAAGGCGGATGGAGAGGAACCGGGCATCTCCCAGCTGGGCTGAGACAGGCAGGGGTGGGACTATTGTTGGGTAGACCCAGAGGTGGAAGTCCTCGGGAGCGCTGCCTCCACTCATCCAGACCACCATCATCGCTCAGCTGGACCACTGCAACAGTCTCCTGACTTGTCTCCCTGCCTCCAGTCCTGCCCCCTAGAATCTGTTCCACAGTAGTGGCCAGAGTGATCACTTGAAAATATAAATCAGGTCATGTCATTTCCCTGCTTAAAATTCTCCAATAGTTTCTCCTATCACATTTAGAAAAAAATTCTGTCTCCCTAGTGTAACCTATAATGCTCTCCATGATCTGACCACTGTCTAACTTTCTGACCTCAATGCATACCACTCACTTCCTCATTCACGACACTTGGCCGTCTCTGTCCCTTGAGCCCTCCAACCTTGTTGCTGCCACTGGACCTTTGCACTTACTGTTCCCTGTGCTTGGAACACTGCTCAGGAGGCTGCGGGGTCACCAAGGAGGCACTGATTCAGCCTGGAAGGACAGGGATGACTTGCTGGGGAGGGAGCCGCGTAAGCTGGGAACCAAAGGCTGACTTAACCATGGAACTTGGGTCCAACTATGGTCCGACGCCTGCCCAGACATGAAGGATGAGGAAGACTTGGTGAGCGGGACAGAGGGGACAGAGTAAGCAAAGCCCCAGGGCCTTGGAACACAGAGGCCTGGGCAGAACGCACCTGCAGTTCCCTGTTAGGGAGGCCAGGGATGTGTTCTGCCTCTGGTCTGCTCTTCCTCCAGATCTCCTCAAGGCTGCTTCCTTCCCTTCATTCAGGCCTCTGCTCGAATGTCACCTCCTCCCGGAGGCCTTCCCTGACCACCCTAGCTAAAATAACACTCTCCC